GTCTTGCCTAAATTTCGCCCTCCCGAAAAGATTTTATGAGCTTGCTAAATTTCTTGCCAGGTGACGAAGGGTTTAAGCTCCAATGATGCTGACGCCTAAGTTTGACAAGTGTAAGCAGAATTGTCAAAACCTGTGTCAGGATGCCGACACGTCACGTGTGTCATCGGATTGCGTCCAAATCACTAGAGCGTGAGAGCGATTGGTCGGCCGCGTCGACCAATCACTGCTCGGTGTCTGCTTACTGGTTTATCTTGTGAAAGCAGTGGTTCATGTTTTAAATGAAACTTCACCTGTTCGTCCTCGTCACGAGATGACCTAATCTCATTAACACGCACTGAATAAACAAGTCAAAATCATGGGTTGTTACTGTCTTTACCACTACCTCCTTGCTGCCTTATTGCTCACCTCATTTGCAATCAGTAACCGTGTCCATAAAAGGTCGACGCTAGACACGCTATATGCCGAAATCTCCGTAGTTGAGGAACAAGATGTGGGAACCTTTGCAGAGAATTTAAATTTCCTCGCAAGGCAGGCTCTTGAACGAGCAGGAATACAATACACTGACTTGCGTCCTCTTCAAATAACTCTACTTGAACCAAACCCCTACTTTCGGATCTGCTTTGAGGAGGCATTGAACGCCTCCTTTCTTTGCCTCAAAAAACGCATTGATCGAGAGCAGTTATGTCCAACTGAAGGTATTTGTTGCCCACGGTATCAACAGCAGCAAAAGCTCTTCGATCCTTTGGCATCTCCCACGAGTGAAATTCGACAAGATGATTGTGCCATATCCCTCATTCTGATGGTGGATCTAGTCGATATCTTTGATAACATCATGCAGCAGCGGCTTCTATCCCTCACTATCCGCGTGTTGGACATAAATGACCACGCTCCTACGTGGAGACTGCAAAGGGCCTCGCAGCCACTTGTTCGCGTGTCTAATGATCAAAGTCGGTTGAATACAGCCATTCCCGTGCTTAATTTACCAATTAGAGAACACACAAAAGTGGGTACAAAGATTGAGCTTCCGGAAGCTGTGGATCCCGATGCCTACCCAGAAAACACAACAGTAAACTATGGCATCGAATCAGATGTGAGTGGTCTCTTTTCACTCGAATGGACAGGAAAAATCTCAAGAACTATCTCAAATTTTATTGACTCTCCTCAACCACCGTACAAGCTGTGGTTGGTTCTGAACAAGGAGCTGGATCGTGACAAGCAGAAGTCGCATCAAGTTAAAGTATTCGCTGTAGATGGAGGAGCTGTGAAGCCGCAAACCGGGTACCTCATGCTTAATATAACAGTAGAGGATGTGAATAACCACCCACCAAAGTTTGAGAAAATTGAGGAACTGGTTTGGGTGCTGGAGCACAGTCCTATCGGAAGTGTTATTTATAGACTACGTGCAAGTGATAAGGACGAATCAGATTTGGACAAATTGGAGTTTGGTCTTGCTACCTCAGTGACCTCGCAAGTTGCTAGTCTCTTTGCGGTGGACAAGCGAACAGGCGAAATTAGGGTGCAAGGTGAACTGGACTACGAGAAAATTACCTCCTATAAGCTCTCTGTGACGGTAACAGATGGATTATGGTTTGATGAGGCGGTCATAACTATCGGTATTCTCAATATTAACGATCATCCGCCTGTCATAACCCTCCATTCCCACCTTGCTGCAGCATCGAAGTTTCATCTCTTTGATCCCCACCATCGTGTTTCCGGCTCTCAGTTAACCATTGAGGTGAAAGAAAATGGCTCACCGGATCAGTTGATAGCAACTTTCACTGTAACAGACGGAGATGATGCAGCAGAAGCGAGGTTTCTTCAATCTAATACCCCTATTCGCGACGCTTTTTTACGGGCTATTAGCCTCAGTCTTCAAGAGGCCACAGAGAGAATAAAACAACCCCCTCGATGCAAACTCAGCAATGAGCTAATGGAGATTGAACTCCTTAGTCTCGACAACCAGTCACACAAAGCGAGGTTTCAAGTGCGTCTTGCCAATAAGCCGTTAGATAGAGAGGTTTCTGCGAAACATTTGGTTCGAATAGAGTGCTGGGATCAGGCTAACCGGTTTGGAAATCACATCCTTGCTCAGAGTAACATGGTGGGTTATAGAAACGCCTTCTCCCGCTCAAAAAGTGTGGTTTTTACCCTTATTGTTTTGGACGAAAACGATTCAGTACCGCAATTTGTGGGACCTATGATTGGAAGCGTGGTTGAAGGTCAGCCAGTTGGAACGCTAATTGCTCAGATAACAGCAAACGATGCGGACGATCCGTACACAATAAATGGTCAGGCTGGACTGCGTTATTCAATTGTTGGTGAACCTGACGTGACTTATGTTGCTCAATCAAAGCCCTCAAATCTAACCTTCACAGTAAACTCACAAAGCGTTTCGACGTGGTTCACATTGGATCCAAGAACGGGTGAGCTCCGCTCCTCCGTCATCTTTGATCGTGAGGTCGTATCTTTCTTCAATCTGACAGTGAGTGTTACTGACGGTGGAGAGGATACAAATTCCAGCCTTAAACGCAACAGTGCCTTTACAACGGTGCAGATAACCGTTTCAGATGTCAACGACTGCCAACCCATATTTGACAGACTCGTATACCAGTTAAATATTAGCGAAGGCGCAACACCACCTCTATTGGTAGGTGAAGTGCATGCAAACGACTGCGATGCTGATGAAATTAACCGGCGCCTCTACTATTGGCTCCAACAGCAACCATCGAATTCCACCTCTGCTGGCCGGTGGTTTACAGTTTCACGTACAGGTGAATTATACCTGGGTTCGAAGGGTACAAACGACGGAAAGGTGCACGATTGGAGACCGCTGGATCGAGAAAAGGAAGAACTCATTGTCCTTGAGGTGCTTGCAAGGGACCATGGTCAGCCATCGCTGACAGGATCAGCACAGGTTATCATCCGACTTCAGGATGTAAATGACAACTCACCTGTTTGGCATTTCCCGAAACCTAATGAACGTGTCATCAATGTCTCCTTGGACGCGTCTGTTGGACAGAGGGTAGCCGAAGTAAGTCCTGCTGCAAGCTAACAAAGTTGAAATTCATATTAAACATTAATCTATCCGCCTTGGTGTCACGCAATGAATTTCTTTCGAAACTCCTAGAGACATGAAATAAACTCCTTTCATTTGGCACTCTGATCTGATATGAATGAATGAATTAGCGTATTTTCCAATTGAGTCCTTTTTATTCATGCGCCTCTTAATGCAATGCTTTAATGTTCTCTTGAAGGCGGGAGAGGATTTAAGCAGGAGGTTCTGACGACCCACTTTCCTCCTTGTTTCTTTTTATACGCACCTGGAAGATGTTAACGTACAGCTCATAATGAGCTTCAAGTGCTTCTTGTCGTGCCTGCTGTGACGAGTTAAAAACGCCTTGCTTGTCTGCTTTTCAGCTTTCGTTCCTGCTTATTTAAAATGGCAAGCAAACAGCATGGTCTACAAATTTAAGTCCTCACACTAATTCACGGCTCCCTAGGTCAATAATTGTAACTAAATACATCGAGTACTGCTGGTTGTTTATTTTCTCTCAACTATGTTGGGAATTTTTTCATACTTGTTCAGCCCCTTGGGCCGGGAAATGGATAAGCAAAACTGATCCACACAAAGTACATTCAATCAGTCGATTCATAGACT